CCCAAGACTATCGAGGCTTTTAGTGATTTTCTTGGCGAGAAGAACTATCTTGCTGGGGACAAGGTACATTGAGCCAAACAACGTTTCTTCGATAAGCCGATTAGATTATTGTAAATTGACTGTTAATGTTTCTTTTTAGATAACCTTTGTTGACTTTGTCATGTATGAACTGCTTGACCAGCACAAAGTCTTTGATGCGTCTTTACTTGAACCTCACAAAAACCTTCAGGTAATCAAGTGGTGGAATTAGATTAGGGATAAAGTATAATTAGAGAATTGCACGCTAATAGGACCTCAGTTGGGGCATTTGACAGCTGATTTTAATGAGCTTAAAATGAGCAAGTTTATATTTATTTTTAAACAACTAGGCTTACAGCAAAAGGCCTTCCTGAAATTTTAGCAACGTAAATCAATAATTTTTAGACATTTTTAGACATAGCATAAAGAGGCGGTTGAGTTATATATTGTAGAACAGTTTCTGACATTGAATGCGAACTAGTATAATCACATGATATATACATAATAAAAGCGTCCTTCGGGCAGCATAGGCGAAAAAAGAAAAAAATACCTTGTCAAGATTTAAGAGGAATTTTTTACTGAATATTTATTTTGTTATTTTCTTCCAAAGGCATTCATGGAGCGAATTGAGGTAAGATGCCGACAGATACAACTCAATAAATATACAGTTTGAACCATTATGCTTTGCGCGCCTCTGTTATTGTTAAGATTTTAGATAAAAATCAGAAAAATACTTCTAGTTTCCAAATATCACCATAAAATGAATGTCCGGTGGTTGAAAACTCTGATATTAGTTGAAAGTGCTTTGAAAAGTGAGATGGTCAAGATATGAGCGGATTCGAAACGCACAGTACAGTTCAGTATAGACTTTCGGTAAACTGAAAATGGCCGACGCCAGGCCCTCGCGGCCCGCAAAGCATAACGGTGCACACTGAGCCTTTAAAAACAAAGATGACAATTAATGTAGAGTTAGACTAATAATAACCTCCTTTCTAAGCATTATATCTTTTCACTACTGCTATTTCGTTTAATGGAGTTTCGACTTCATTGTGTTTTTTAGAAGATGTGCATTTTATCTGTTTGTTTGTTTACAGGCATTACCAAAAATAGCAGAATACATGAAAAGTGACAAGTTCATGACGCGACCTATCAACAATCCCATGGCGGTGTTCAAATAGCTAACACGATAATACTGTAGTTCGGACCATATATACCATATATTCCATATTCACCGGTTGTATCTGTAGGATAGTCATCTCTGAAAGTGTGATGAGCAAACTGTGCATTGAACAACAATCATTAGTAAAATAGAATCTGTATGGATAGTAGTATCGCTG